GGCACGTTACGTGTCAATCCTGGCTCAGAAATAGAACCTTGGCTTGGTAGCGTGAAGAATGAGCAGGAATTGTATATTATGTTTGATATCNGTAACGTCCAGAACGTGCTTGCTGCACCCCGCGTAGTTTACCTTTCATATGGAAACAGTTAACTTGTTCTCGCTTGCTGCTGCAACACCGGTCGATCTGCTGCTGCTCAACCTTTCTCACGGCTTGACTTAAAGATCTCAACCACCGCTTTGATCTCTGTGCCAACGCACTGGTAACCGGACACTCAAGCTTGCCTTCGCCTACTTGCCCTGGGTAACTCTCTCTTCTAACAACTAGCGCGCGGCAGCGCGGCTACAAACAGCAAAACCCAGTACGCACACCATATGCGGGGATTCCCAGGATTCGCATGGGAGAACCAGGACGACTCGACAAGCTCGCGTGAACCAAGAGAGAGACAGGTACGGGAGGGAGAGAGGGGGACACACACACTGTTTCTGTCTTTGATCCGGAGAATAGGTTAGTCTCCCACACGCCGCCCTCTCACGGGGTCCCAGCCAAAGGCACTTAGAAGTATTCTTGGCTTTCACCCGCTCTGAGACTGGCGTCTTTTCATTGGTCAGCCGGTTCGCGCGGTCGATGCTAATAAACACACACACGCATTGTTACCATGCAAGGACCGCTTGAGCCGAGCCCACTCCCTCGTCTGCACCAAGACCGGCGCCTCAACCTTCCTCCATAACAGGATGGTTCGTCAGCCCCCCCCCGCGAGCAGCAGCACCACCGCTTCCTCCTCGTCCTCTAGTCCTTCTCCTGGCGCGCCTCCATCTTCGGGCTACCTCCACCACTGCGCGGCACAATCGGTGCCCCTAGGCAAGTCTCACCCTGACGATTTTTTCGTAGGATAGGAGTGACAATTTGAGTAGAGTCTGCTGAGTCGGCTTCGTCTTTGTTGAGTGTGGAGTCTAGTGAGAGACCGCCTGGTAGCGAGAGATGGGTCGCTGACTCAGGAGCCAGCAACNTACCTCCACCTCTGCACGGCACAATCGGTGCCCCTAGGCAAGTCTCACCCTGACGATTTTTTTAGTAGGATAGGAGTGACGATTGGAGTAGAGTCTGCTGAGTCTGCTTCGTCTTTGCTGAGTCCGGAATCTAGTGAGAGGCCGCCTGGTAGCGAGAGATGGGTAGCTGACTCAGGAGCCAGCAACAGTTTCACCAACAGCAGCCTACACATGGATGACCTACAAGAGATCCCCTCCAGCAGGAAGTATGTCGTTGTAGATGATGGTCGACTGCTAGAAGTGCAAGCCATCGGTAGCATTAATCTTAGTTTCTTTCAGGAGGATGAGAATGGTGAGAAAACGACGATGTGNGTTTCACCAACAGCAGCCTACACATGTATGACCTGCAAGAGATCCCCGCCAGTAGGAAATATGTCGTTGTAGATGATGGTCGACTGCTAGAAGTGCAAGCCATCGGTAGCATTAATCTTAGTTTCTTTCAGGAGGATGAGAATGGTGAGAAAACGACGATGTGTTTGAACCTCACTGGCGTGTCTGATGTAGAGAGCCTGAGTTTCAACTTGTTCTCAACGCATGCTGTTTCTCTGAAGCAACCAATCCTCTACGACAAACGTGGTGCAACCCTCCAAAATGGACTGCTCTTTGCTAGAGAGGATAAAGCGTCTGCAGCGTATGCCATCCGGTTGCCGTACGACCCATCTGCGACTATTNGTTGCGTATTCCTCCCGCTGGCTCTGCTAGCGTAGTACCTTCGGCTGATAGCGTCCCGCCCACTGGTCCCACCAGTGCAGTACCTGCGAGTGAGAACGTCCCGCCCGCCGGCTCTGCCGACGTAGTGCCTTCCTCGANATGCCATGCGGTTGCCGTACGACCCATCTGCGACTATTGTAGACCCTGCTACTTTGCCCGCATTCGTGACTGCCCCCGATTCCGCCCCCGCCGTTGACTCCGCGCGTTTNTGCTGATTTTGACTTGGGTGCGGCCGCGCTTGGCCCTGGTGCGTCCCCGTTTGCTCTTGGTTCGACTGAAAAGTCCGTTGACATCAACCGCTTCCACCGCTTTCTTGCCCACGCTTGCGAGCCTCTTTTGAGAGAAACTACCCAGCAGAGAGGCATTGTACTCACCGGCAAGCTGGAACCGTGCACGGACTGCATGAAGGCGAAGGGTAGGCGAGGGTCGGTGCCGCGAGGGCCGGGAGCGCGGGCGTCCACGCCACTGGGGCGTGTTCACCTGGACCTGTGTGGACCGCCTGTGCCTTCCCTGGGCGGCAACCTCTACCTGTTCGTCGCCGTGGACAGCGCCTCGCGGTGGAACAA